AACTTTGCAATTGACCTATTCTTCACCTCAAGTGAATTGATTATATTCGTACTACGAATCCAAACTATACCCATTTGTTACTTAGTGTTTATCATTGGTTTATTTCTCGTTGCATGCATCACAATTAGCTGCGAGCATGTTTATTCACTCAAATTGAATTACTTCCTATTGAAATTATTCTGCTTGTTCGAGAAAGCAGTTGTTAATGTGCGCAGAGAGTTGTGGCACACTATCTTCATGCGTGCAATGGCTGACGCGTGTTCTGTGTGTGTTAGACCACACCCACTTTCTCCACGAACTAAACAGCAAGATTTCTTTCATATCATTCCAGTAGGATCGACTATTGTTTACTGCTCAGCATCTACTTCAATTAATTTAACTGACAAATAACTTCATGAGTTTTTCCAATGTTATCTGAGCGTTTTGTCTGGCCGTCGGGATTCAGAAATGGTTTGAGCTTATTTTGCGTTCAAGGGAATGCATGAGGAATTCAGCCATCCGTGGGTTTTTGAACTTTCTCATTGCGGTAAACTAACCTAGTGATTTTGAAATTCTACTTGCCAGTGGCAATTTCCGCGAGGATTTTTGTCTACGATTTTTCGATGATTGAGTTTTAGTGAACATATTTTCAGTTCATTCAAATTTCCAGATCTTCCATTTAACAATGCTTTATATTCGCCCACTCGCACTCGCTAAGCGTGCACTTACCAACTCCACATAGTAAGTGCTTTACGATATTAATTATAATCATAACGGTAACAACACTCATTATTTTATTATCACTACCTTCACTTAATCCATTTTCCATGGAAATACTTTTATCAGTCAACGATTCCGAATGCTGAAGCACCCCTACGGAAAACTGAACATTTCTTATTTAACTGTTTCTAGTACACAAGAAAGTCTTGTCGTTAACTGAAAAAGGAAAAAAAATGTTTTTGTTGTCGCATGATTCACAATTGAATGATGAGATGTATAATTGGTGTGTAATTTCTAATAATGAGTGTTAATTTATAAAGTTACCCAACGTATGCGGCATATGGCGGTGCTGCGTTCCTTGCGGCCATATATTTCTGTGAATGGAAGACTGTGGGGCAATATATACCGGTATGGAACGCTCGATATACGAAGAAAGACGAGGCTTGAAAAGAAGTAGAATCATTGATTGATTGCTTAATCGATGTATGTACTGATGCTTTGTGTAGAATTACTTTTGTATCGTCTAATTTTCTTCATAAATAATTGATGTAGGTGTGTTATATTCGTTGACGTAACAACGTCCGTTATTACGCTTTTATACTTTCTCATCAAAACCTAGCTCTTCTAAAATTTTGGTTCGTTATTTCAGTGAATCTTACGTTGGATAGTGGTCTCGGTCGATCGTATCGAATCAATTTCATATTACGTTATTATACACGGCTTGCGTTATACCTTATCATTAAAAACAATCTTGTTTCATTGTTTATGTCGTATAGGATAGATGTTGATTATTTGATTGTATATCTGTCTTAGGAAAGATTAAAATGAATCATTATGTCAAGCTTTGGTAGGCATTTTTTCTTGATTTTCGAAAACGAATAATTATGAAAGCATAATTATGTCATGTTACTTGTGCCGTCACTTTCATCAAGTGACTTTGAAATAGTTTCTTTAATTCATGGAATAGTACCACATTGCGATGAGTCACTTCCTTCTATGTGGACGTTTCTCACTGAGGCTCGACAAGAATCTCTTGCAATAATATTGTCCTCTATTTCCTGTCATCTATACCTCAGTAGACATATTTTGCATTCATTCGATTTTGAATAGCTGTTTCATTTTGTATGAATGAATAACGCTCAATATGATGTAGTACATACTTATATAATACAATCATTTTATTTTCCTTTTTTCTAAGTATCGGAATTCACAACATCACAATATTCAACAACAATTAACTATGTTTATGAGTTATTCATTATTCAAAATTAACAACGATGTTTATCAGTCGGAATATATCACATTCGAGTTCATCTGTTAATCTTCCAAGCTTTGTTGGCACTTGTTTACTTTGGGGGAGAGAGGGAGGGAGCGCGCTCACGTGCTCTGAGATCCTGAGTATGGCAATTAGCCATTTTACACTTTATAAGAGAAAAAGAAAAGTCATCTTAACACCTGGAGAAGTTGTGAAAATTTTTCAATTTGGATAAAACGATCAGATTAGAAGCCATTAAAAAACGAAGCGTCTGTTATGTTGAGCAAAAAGAGCAGTTGCAATATTCAACCCAAACTATACCACGACTGAGAGAATACTGTGATAATTTCTTGAATTGAAATTCACATCTAATTCAGCTTAAATCAAGCGTGAATGGAACATTAAGCTTTTTCTGATGTCAGATTTCGTGTGAATGCAACGTAAAGCATCTGTTACGAAGTCTTCGCAAGAGTGATGATAAGTTGAGTAACTGTTCATCCACGACATACTTCATGATTGCCATTACTGTAATAAGAATGATGCATTTGAACAACTGTTCCACTACTTCATGAATGATATGGCAAAATGAATGCTGTTAATTATAACTTCATAAGATATTCAATGTCATTCGTTTGTCTTGCACTGTGCTTCGTTAAAATTTCCACACTATTCTCGGTTACTAACACATCGTCTTCGATACGCAGTCCAATACCTCGAAACTCTTCATGAACTAATTCATTGTCTTCACGTATATATATTCCTGAAAATGGTTATATCAAAACTGAACTGATGAATGTACTTAAGTGATGCTGACGGTCGTTATCAGATCAGAACATTTCGACAAATTACATAATTATTTCACACGAATTATTCGTTCTACGCCTCTACAATCTCGGATAAGAACTACTCTTGACTGAAATTGAGAAGAAATAAATTAAAAGCAAATACCCGGTTCAACAGTGAATATAACGCCTGGCTGAAGTGGGATATTTCGAGGGACGGTAGCAGTATCATGAACATCCATACCCAAGTAGTGGCTCACATGATGTGGGCATATCTTATCTGTTAGCTGTAATCAGTACATGATTCCGAACACATTCAATCACTGCATAAATTTCAGTCAATTTGAATTGAGCAAACAGTTCATCATATAATCAATTTGCGTATACGATGAAGTTCGAACAGAATTCAACAATAAAACAATACCGTTATAAGTTCTTGCTGATTGATTGTGTTCTTGAATAATCCGATTTGTTGAAGATTCTTCGAAAGAATATCAAGCATTGCGAAATAGAGTTCATTCAGTTGAAGTGGTCTTACATTCATAGTAATATTCAATAATTTTGACTGTACATCATTCAATGCATCTAGAAGGGTACGTTGTGCATCACTGAAATGTCCTCCAATCGGAAATACACGTGTTATATCACTTACGTATCCACTGAAATCACAACCCGAATCCACCAGCACAACATCACCATCATCTATTTCCTTCAATCATTATTATTATTACTACTGTTATCAAGTTGAAATATTGACCCCGAAAAAATACTGCTTTACTTATGTTGGTTGTTTCGAACAGCTACTCTGATCGATCACTGGACGCACGTTCAATCGATCAAGCGGAGTGTATTTCCGGGCTCATTTTGAGTCCCTCTCTGTAGAAATCATTGGTAGAGTAACTCTGCACCTGTGTGCTTGCCACACCAATAATTGAAGTTAGAATTTCATTAAAACCAAGGATCCATTATCATTGGCTACGCCGAAAGAAGGTTGTCAAGGAAGGAAGCATGTAATATTGGTGATGAGAGAAAGGCATAAACTCTTAATGAATTGTAATTGCTGATTAAGTAAATCAATCAATAAATAAATCAGTAAACAAGCCTATAAAATACTAATTTCTAACTACTCAGTCAATGGAGTCAATTCTAAATCTCAACTCCAACCTCCCTCCTCATTTAGATTCTCCGTAACCCGCTGCTTCTAGCTCTTAGTAACCAATTTTCCGAAGTGTCAATTTCGAGAGGCAACAATTTTTGATTTATTTTCTATTACTGATTTCGAATTCGGAATTAAAGATTTTGTATTATACCAAAGTTTTTAGCAGTATTGAAAGCATCGATTTCATTGTCACTACCAAATAACAATAGTCACTTTTCCAATCTTTTTTTTTCAAAAAGAAGAGCATTTCACAAAATATTTAAAGAATGTTTTCTCATTGTTGACTTATTCAAATGAAAATGTGCATTTGTATTCTTCATGGGTGGTCTTGTTGTGATGATATGAACATTGAGAGTCAGTAATTCTAATAATATGAGGTGATGAATGGCTGGTAAAGAATGACGCAGAAGGAGAGCAAATGTGAAACTTAAGCGAATGAGAAATAGTGTTTGTAACGAACTCGGGTGCAGTCAAGATAATGAATGGTATTCGCACGATTACCAGCAGCAACAACTGGTGGATACGCTAGGCAGGAGGCACCACGATGACGACATTCAAATTCGAGACGACCAACGATTTGATTTTCGTTGGATGACGATCGACTGCGAGATATCATCGCGTTCATTGCACGTGCACCAATATCGCATGTCTTTTTCATCAGATTTTGTTCGCTTTCCGACTTAATCCACCGAAGACAATCGATGTGTTCACGCAATGGAACTTTCTTCGCGAATTCATTCATCACCTTAATTCAGCTCTACATTCACGACCATTATTAAATTTGTTAGGTTCTTGTAAGAACATTATAGCCACAACGTAACACTCATACAGTATTTCCAAGAAATTGTTATTTTCAAATAAATATTTCTACAGTTCCATTTGAGTGATCGTTTTTTTGAAATTCACTGACAGAATGAATAAATTCAAGTACACTTTGAAATGGTGAATAATAGACGAAGAAGGTTATGTTTCATTCACCTTAATGATGTCTGCATTATGTTTCACTTACCTTAATGATGTCTGCATTTTTATTGGGGAATTGCTTGAAATCAAATGAAAGAACAGAATTCGAATTCATTCGATCAAGGTCCTCATAAAGGTGTCTGCGTTTTTTAACCTCGTCAATACCCGAAATCGAGATAATTTCTTCATTACTCATCGTTGGTCCTTCCCATAACTCTTCATGAGCGCTACGTCCTGATGTTTCATTATGAACTATTATTTTGAAAAATGAACATCAGTCGACCACAAGTCTGGCCATCATCGAGATGATCGGATTAATTAAATGTATTTTTGATCAATAAAAGCAAGTGTGTCGATCGTTTCTAAAAATTTTCGCATTGTTCATCTGATTTTATACAATCAATTTCGATTTGAAAAAAAATGCTCTATATGTTGAACGATTTGGAAAATAATGGAAAATGGTAATAATGATAGCAGTAAGAATAATAAAGACAAAAATAATACATACCATCAAAGTACAATGTTGTAAAGGCCTTTTGATTTGGTTGAGCAACAATAGTTAGTGTGGCGTCAGATAAGGGAAGTCCACACAGATAACGAAAATAAGAACACTGTCGAAATGGATATGGGACGTCTGGAGCTGAGAATTGCTGTTGGGCAGAGGGTGTGACGATTACGAGTGGTGTTTGTGATGAGCTTGTGATTGAGTCGTTCCGAGATGCAGATGCATTTTTGATTCGTTCAACCAGCATACGACGTCTTTGCATATATTCATCCGATGAAATTGAGAGCGCTTTTGTTGAATACTCCAAACGAAGCCTTCTCTTGATACTTATACTCCTCGGACCAGTTATCCATTTTGACACTCCCCACATACCTAAACTAATACTATTAGATATTACGGTCAGCACAGAGACTAATGATTTCTTTTTCGACAACAAGAAAAATTCGTCAACTCTCGCTGGGTCATCGTTAGCTGAGTATTGAAAATGCATCAGATGATCAGAGATTAACTTAAATTGAACAGAACATTATACGAATGATTGCTATATGTTGATACATTTCAAAGTTATGCTGTGCGCTCAGGTAATGTTCCATGTTGATGGTCGATAAAGGATAATTTGGATCAGGCATGGAATGGACGACCTTCCTGCATTCCCACGCGAAATCTCAGGAAGTAACTCCTTTTGTGGAATACTCCGCCAACTTAGCTCTCCTCCCCTCCTCCCATTTTCGATAGTTCCCCGCTCAACTGCCCCAGAATTCCCTCGTTCACTTTTATGTGTTGTTTAGGCTTATGAGAGCAGTAAACATTCATCAGTAAAACAATATCCATATTGAAATTTAATCGGTCCAATATTTTTTCTTGTTTCGATTCATTTTTGATGGAGAATACATTCAGAAACATATTTTGAAGGATTTGCTCTGTAAATACGCCGTACATGTTTTATCACGCAGGAAGTGTTTTGTTTTGACAACATGAACTCTCTGCTCACCGCATTATGAAGTATTTCACGCCTGACATGATCGCTACAGTTTTTAGGTCTAGAGTAGAGTCCATAAAGTCTTTATTAAATGCGGAAATTAATGGGGAAATTTTTGGTGCTATTATATTGTGTCACTTTTCAACTCATTTCGAGAATTATTGAAATGCTTACAGAGCGACTAAAAGAGGATGAAATGAGCTAGCCACTAAAAGAAACATGTTGCGCAATTGCCTTCCTCTAGTTTCCAATTATTTTGCTGTTGATGAACAACTAGTACCGTTCAGAGGTTAGTATCCTATCGAATAATACATACCATTCACGCCTGAAAAGCATGAGATCTTCATGTGGCTGTGATATGGCATTATTACGTGCATGAAACCTACAAGGAAAGAAAGGAGTGCAGGTAGAGTTCCAGAGAGGAAAGCATGAATAAATGTTGTCCTAGATAAGACGAATAGGTTATGCAGTCATAATTTCACTTTCTACGAACTACGACAAGAGCTTCACTATAATAAGGTGATAACAAGATTGCGTAGAAAAAATGGTGAGAGCTCTCGTCTCAGCTCTTGGCAATAAGGAATAGCCTCGCCAACTCCCTCGTTCTTACTTTAGTTGTAAGAAAAAAACACCGCGACGACCACTTGTACATTTCCTCATTGTCAGTATGAAAAAGCTGAATACAGCTAGACCATCATTGAAATACAGGTATATTCTATAACAGAAGACTATTTTTCAATAAACGAAGTAAAGTATTAATGAATAATCGTATAGGAACAAAGTGAAGCATTTCTCGTATTCCACTCATCATAATGAAGATTCAAAATGATATCGGTGACGTATCTTCGATTCAGTGCACCAATCGACCATTGCCAGCAGAAATGTAATGACAAACGATTTGTGTTAGATGGGGAGCGATTATTTGTTGAATGAAATACACGTAAACAGAGTTAATATCTCTTCAAACTAAGATAAACAGTCAGTGCAGAAAAGTCGATATGATATATCGTCCTGTGATTCCAAGTTAGTATCTGCTCAATAAATATTCGTCAAAAAATAAGTAATTCTCTACCAGGCCCACAAATGACACCAATACGATACATAAAGGAGAATTTATGTTAGGTAAGAAAATGATGTTTGAAGCTCACACCCAAACAATCTGCAATCAAGAACGAGAAAATGATTCGAACAAAGTAATTCTGAGTACCACGATAACCCTTATAACTCACTGCTCTTCAATTTCCTTAGTTGTAGTAAGTGCAAGAAAAGTGAGAAAAATGGACGACGTATTTTTTACCGATGATATTTAATAATTTAATTAATTCAGTTATGAAGCTGTGGTGATGTGTTTATAAGAATATAACAAGCGCAAAGAAATCATGTACGACAAGAGATATTAAATAAGTCCAACGAATAGTGATATAGGGAAAGGCGAAATTCAGTCAGCTCAGTAAACTCAACCGGCAGAGATCAACCCCATCTATTCGGAGTAAGATCAAGCTTGAGCTTACGGTTGGGCTTAGGTACGGGCTAGCTGAGATACACAAGAATGAAAGCGGATTCTCCGGTGCTTTCTGGCCAATGCGTTTCCAATTTCTCCGAACTATCTGACCAGTCGCTCAATGGAGCGATATTATCCTTTTTGAGTTGCATTTCTCGATCCTAACCCAAACAATGATAATAATGATAACGAAGAGTCGTTGCTGATCACTGATAAAAAGATCAATAAATGGCCATAAGCAATTAGTAATGTGATCGATTGTTTCGGTTACTTTACATTGGCAATGTGCGAGGACTGATGCTGACGCACTCACAACGCATCGAATCAACAGCTGTATTAACGATTAACTTTCAACGGTCACTAATATCATGATACACTGGAATGAAGAACACGAGCAGTCAAGTGATTAAAGTTTACGAACGAGTGGTAGTTTGATGATATGAAATGAACCATTAAAACAGTTCTATGACAACACCTCGAACACTCCACTATCAATATGAATTAAATATCTCATCAAAATAACACTTATCTTCTCAGTTCACAGATAGAATCATCAATTGACTTTAGGCAAAAGAAGCCTTATTGAAATTACTAATGACTAACAAAAATCATTTATATCTGTCACATTCATCTACAGCCATCAATATTTCATTGCAATTCAAATGCGTTATTCAGGCGATTTTAATGTTTATTTTTGGCAGCGAACATAATTCATATTCGGTTGATTGTTTCATTCCATGACCTTTCCAAAAACAATTATACACTGAACGTTCAGCTAGCAGGTTGAACATCATCAGGTTGCGATTCATCCAAAAGTGTACATCAATTTCATATCAGTTAGCGATTCATCAGTGTTAATATGCAAAGTCATAAGAATGTTCCTAAATCAACATTCTTCAAATAATAATTACAAACCTTTGCAACAAGATCAAACAGTATTCCGGGAGTGAATAATCGCAACAGTCAAATAATCAAAACATCGACGTTACGATAACCACACATATGAATGAAACACAGAATGATACAACATTAAGAAAAACGTCGTTTGAGTTATCGTTCGACTGTAGGAACGAGTTCGAAACATAAAACGGATCATTCCATATATGAATTCAAACAATGTTGAAACGGATGAGCAATGAGGTAATAATATTCGTGCATATTTTACCATATTCAAACGAAATTGAATCATAGAATGAAGCACAATACAATAACACAATAAATGATTTATCAAGTAAAACATGATCATCGAATGTAACAATCGACTGAAACGAATTGCGTAAAGTTGTCTTAATAATCAAAGAAAATTTCAAAAAATAAAGATATACAAGTACATAGAATGAAAAATCGAACACAACATACTGAACTGTATTATACAAACATTATGACTTGAGATAAAATAATCACTAATAATAAACCATCGTATCTCAATCCGTTCTAAATGTAATAAATCCAAAATTCGATTCAAAATCGAACACACACTCCTCCATTAACAATCGTATTTTCACCAGTTATGTACTTCGCATCATCGGATAACAAAAAATGTATAACACCCGTACAGTCCTGCGGTCTTCCTAATCGTCCAATTGGGATCATAGTACTCAAATTTTGAAGATCCTAAATGAAATTCAATTTTGAACATTTCAATACCAAACATACCACTGATGAAACTTGGTAAATCAATGAATGATAAAATGAGGAATTTATCAGTAACGTAAAGAATCGATTATATCAAAGAAGACTGATTTGTTGTTTGGTGCAACACGTTTGGTGGCTAACAACGAATATTTCATAAGACTTGTTGTTTGTTATCGTTGAAATGAAAGGATGGATGAAATAAGATTTGATGAAAGCGTATAAAATCTAAAGAAATTTTAAAATGATAATAGTAATAATCAGATTATAGTAATAAATGAAAGGATACATCGTGAGAGGACTTATCCCAGATAGCAGCCGAGCCATCGTGCTGAACAAAACCCGTTGCAACACAATTGACACGAACACGACGACATGCAGCACTGACTGATAATGCCTTGCACATCGATACGACCGCGTTTTGTGCGATCGAATATAAACCACAATCAATAAACGGTGTGAAAGAACTTATCGATGAAAGCAGTATCACACATCCACGCCTTCAATCATACGTCTTTCAAAACAATATTATCTGAATGATCGTAATAAAAAGATTCACTGAACTGATCATCATATTCATACCCAGATTTTTCCAGCAATGGCATTGTTTGTTGGACAAGACGAAATGGCACCGTTACGTACTTTGTCATCATCTATAATTCTATTTGAATCTACTCTATCAAAACTCATACAACAACACACAGTTCATTCGTTAGAAAGTGTTGAATTTAGCCGAAAACAAAGAATATTGAATTTGATTATGATTTACAGACAATCAGTATCTGTACTTCACGCTAACGTCTCCTTTGTTAAACAGCAAACGAAGCAACCATTGAATGCAAATAAACCTAAGTCGATATTACTTCGTCAAATTGATCTGCACTCACATCCATCACATTTCCACGAATCTTATTCTCACCCATATTCGCGATCAAATAATCAATTCCACCGAACCTTTTTGATGACTGAAGAAATAATCGATCAATAAATGAAGAACGTAAATTATTTTTCAGAGCAAATCTTACACTATATTGCAGATCACATAATATTATGCAAAACCTACCTCATTGATAAGCTTACAACGCTGCTGATTACTCCTTAAATCAGTAATCCCCTGCACAGCAACGATTTCACAGCCGTCATTTCGTAACTCTTTTTCGAACGCATCTAATTTCTCGGCATGCGAATCTGCAATGACCAGCCGTGATCCGGCCTTACCCAATCTTCGGCTGATTGCTTTACCCATTGCCGTACAACAATTTGTGACCACTGTCACCCGGCCCACCAAACTCGGACCCATTATGAGTGAATAACTCTATTACTCTGAAATAATTAAGTTGAAATGCTTCAGAAACTGATTTATAACAAACGAAATATCTTACGAATAATGTGCATAAATGGATAATATTCATGTTTCACCCAACTTTATCAAACTTTATCGAACAAATACGCAATTTTGTTTTACGTTCAATCGACAATATTGAGTGGATTTGAGGAAACTAAGAAAGGTCATGAAGCTCTTGAACCAGATCATGCCGAGCTTGTTTACTTTCAATCATTCGAAATAACTGAAAAATGAACGTTTTGCAGACATCACTTTTGCATACATAGGTCCAGCTTCAAACACTTCAACACCCAAACATAGTTTGTTAAGCCAACTAACGGTAATTTCTCAACAATAACAAAACATCACTATTAATGATCTTCAAATATTTAGCCACTTTATGAGGCTTCACGCCAATGAGAAGGACAGGTAGGTTGCAAACGATTTCAAGGGATGGTTGTTGGTAACAAGCCAAACTGCACTTTTGAAGCGATGCGGTTAGACAGAGCAAAGAGAAAATGACCTCGGCTAAGACGAATTAATTCATCGATGAGGGCTCGTAATTCACTGATGATGACATCCGAACGAAATTTCAGGCAGGTTGGAATCCGGCCGAATCGACTTTGTAACATTTCGAAATTCAGATCCCGACCGGACTTCGAATTTCTTCGATAGGAATTCCGACGGAAATCCACCAGATTTTACCGGCTAAGCTTCGGTCATCAATTAGTATCACTGCTTTCCACGACGTATACCGTGCATGAGTCTCATACAGAGGAGAATTTTTTCTTCATCCCACCGAGGTGTTGCATCAAGAAGTCGCTCAATTCTTCAGTAATGGAAACTGAAGCACGGAAGTCACAATCAGATATTGCTGATGCGAACAATTGAACTCGATGTAATGTCGGGACAGAAGTTTGCACCGCCAATGCCAGACAGTCCTCTGGGAAGAGAATTGTTCAATTCGCTACAAACTCAGAAATTTTCAGAGTAGTTTTCTAAAGTGTAACTTAAAAGGAGCTATCATTATGAAAGATATTGGTATTGCGAGCGACTGCAATGAAAAAAAAAAACCGCAACAGAACTTTGCACGTGCAGTGCTACTTGCACGTGTCCAGCTTGCTTCGAAGGCGAATCGTCATCCTGGGTGGCGGCACCCAGGAGAGTGGGCACTCGGGTGCATTTTCGAGTACCAAATCTCAAACGCAAGTGATAAGCTGCGAAAAAATGCTCTTCGTAAATTCAACGTAAGCTTCAGCCTTAATTCGAATGCAGTTCAACCACGGTCATGTGGTGAAGAGGGGGCAACGCGATTGTTCGTCGAATCTACTGCTGAATAACACTTTCATTGTGGAACTATCTAACCTGTTCTTATCACTGCCTAGATGATATGAAATAGACATGCCATACCGGTGACGAACATCTCCATGACGAACTTCATGAGTGATTTTCCAAATGTCAAATTCTTTCAACGTGAACCGTGTGCATTCACTCATAACCTGTCGTTTGCGATCTGATCGTTGGTTTGGCACCGTAACATTTACAGACTCAATCCCAACATAGCAACTCCACTGCCGTACACGAGGATTTTTCCCGAAAGTTTTTGTTTGCAGAGAATTGAATTCTCTTTCCAGTGATTTGATAGTGATTGCCAAATTAAATTTTCAGTTCATCAAAAACTATTCCATTTTTCGGATGTAGCAATGTGACACTTTGCAGAAATTTTGGTCCGCTTTCTGAACAACTAATTGATATCACCATGCACTTCTTCACTTCAATTTTTAACACTAAGTTCAGCCAGTTCACTTTATGCACCTCAGCAAGGCAATCTCCTCTTGTTCTTTCACTTCACTTGCTTTAGTGTGCAAGTGCTTCAGTAGAATAATCGTTTTTCTGATTATGAACAAGCGGATGGATATTTCGCAGCGAACAGGGCATGCTGTCTTATCTGAATATTACAACAATCCTCTGTACGTCGTTCAAGTTCAACTCAGATTCTTCATCGTATGCAGTGTTCATGGAACGTTAACAAAAACAATCACGAACACAACACTCTTGATAGTGATTGCCAAATTAAAATTTTTTTATCATCGAGCTAAAAGAGGAAAGCTCAACAAACTGATCAATTTTCGTAAGCGCTACAGTAATGAAACTTGACCATATTCCAACCAACCATATTCGCCATGCTCATAAAACTATACAACTCACACATGTTCATCCGTCCATCTGCTACTATTTGTGTTGTCAATTTTTGCGAGCTAAATTTACGTGAATACCAACCGATCTCAGAGATGAAAGCACACGAATTTACAGTCAATTTGATCGAACAGATCAATCAGCAAAACAAAAAACTGCTCACTCGACATCACAGTAGAATACGTGGTGCACACATCTATTTTGTAGAACAGACAGAAATGAAAACGATTATTTCACGAAAAAATCGCTCAGCAATACAGCTCTCACGATCGCCTTTATGCACAAGATAAAAGCAAACTTTCAACAACAGCTTAATACTCTTCATTCATAATCCACCAAATATCATTTAAATTCACTTTAAATACGCATCCTCCAACAAATACACGCATATTCAACCATCAACTAAAGTCACCATTTACTAAATCTTATTCATCATATTCCAAAGACAACAACAACTTAAAGCTCCACAGTTTAAGAGTGCAACATTTAGTATCCTCTGAACTGAAACAACATATCATATCAATTAATTTCATTCGATCCCAAAGTGGATGATGTGTCCATTGTGTTCAGATGCTATAGAATTGTTATAAAGTATAGCAGCAGTACGCGTCAAAGTTTCAAAAAATTTGACTTTAATGAGACCATAAAGAAAACAAAATCAAACACATCATTTACAAGAAGAAACATAAAATAGAAAGCTAACGATAACAATGACAATTATAGTTGATTGGAGGAGCGCGATAAGAAGAAGTCAAACAAAAGAATAAAGGGCATGAAAACAATCAACTCAATCGAAGTCGCAATCAACCACAACGATAACAGAACAGAACAGAACAGAACGCTCATAATGATATCAATAATAAGAACAAGAATGAGAAGAGGGTAGAAGCAAACTGAACTCTCTTTGAAGGTGTTAGTTGTGTATATGCAATAAGATGGAACACCCGAGCTGCATTTAAATCTAATCATACATAAATACATATTATCTTTATACGCATTATTTATATGATTCTAACGCACAATCGATTTCTTGATCCGGTAAAATGGATCAGATAGTTGTGGATGACAATTGCACGCTCGAAAAATTAATTAGAAGTATGTATATGGATTAACGCAACTGAACTGAAATGAGGGTAACAACAGCCGCTTTTAGAGAGTCGCTGAATGAGATGATGAAGGCTGAATTACAGAGACACTTTCTGAACGAAACAAACGGTGATGGTTGCAGTCAAAGAGCCAAGCGAACATAGCAAATAGCAACAAATCGTTTAAGCAGCCAGACCATCTATGAAGCACTCCAATGTTGCGGTCCATTCGCGTAAGTCTTCTTGGCTGCATGCGCATGAAGTGGCATCTGTTGCGATAGATATCCTTGCGGTGCTGGTGCCGGTGGTTGATACATTTGAGGTGGTGGTGTGGCTTGTGCCCCTCCACCCAAACGATCTTTACCAGCATTCGAAGCACCATATTTATCCATTTGCTGATGACCGCCATACACCTTAAATTATCGCTGTGAAGCAACAGAACATAACAATCATCCTCCAAAACGGCAAAATCAGTTCAAAACAGAATCAAAATAAAAAATCAACTCGAACCAATACCTTTTGCTGCTGAGACGACAATCGTTGATCAGTTAATGACTCATCAACAGCTTGTTGTGCAAACATTTGATGACTTAGTTTGTGCTGCGCATTACCGGTTACATTTGGTAACATAAACGAGAATGGTAATTGGTGATGATGATACGTTGGAGGCATCTCAAATTAAATTAATCACTAACATACACTGGTGTATCCAAAGACCCCCCCCCCCCCCGCGGTCTAAGGGAATGGGAAAAAAGAAGAGAAAAACATAAGGTAAACGAGGAGAGAAAGGAAGGAAAGAAATATAGAAGGGGAAGGAAGAAAAAAATAAACGTATAGAAATCTGCCCCAAAATTCAGCTATTTCCATGGAAAGATTTATTTTTCGCGCCCCCTCTCCCTCTAGAAGGAATCCTAGCTATGCCATTGCAAGCATGTCATGTAATATTTGAAATGTTTCATGCAATCTAGCACGACAGACTATGAAAATAAAAGACCTGAAAAAGAGACGAGAGATGATTAGGTTGTGGAAGTGTGAAAGCAGCTGTAGGCATATTCGAAGGAGGTCCACTGAAGCCCGGAGGAGGTGCGACTGCTGCAGAAGGCGCAGTGCATACTGCCGACGTCGTGTCGCGTTGGGACTGTTGTTGTGCAGCTTGAGGTGCCTGAGGTTGCGGTGGAGGCTGGTTGCCGCCCAACAACGTCGATCCACCACCTGCTGCAGCCACCGATGCTACCGCTGCAGTGCTGTTCGCAACTGCTGCTGCGGCCGCATATGCCTGCTGAACAAGATCACAATGATTGAATGTCAACAAAAGTTAATGACTAATCACTTAATGACTGTTTCATTGCACAATCAAACAATACAAAAGTTAACCATCTCAAAACAACGAAAGAATTCAACTGAAAATTACAACAGTTAGAAATGAGCATCGAACTACTTATGATCCATCGAACTACTGATGTCAACAAAAAAAAGAATCACCTTGAGATCAACATAACTAGCGTGCTGATCGGGCCGTTGCTGGTGTTGCGCTTGCACCGGCGGTGGTGGTTGTGAGGCGGCTGCTTGTTGCTGTGATGCTAGTGCAGCTGCAGCTGGTGGCAATATGGTTGACAACGAACTCATATCGATCTGACCAACACCAAACGGATACTGAACCAGCGCGGCGGCTGCATACTGGGTTTCATCCTGCCGCACACCCGCTACAGGACTGTACATATTCAAATACGGATAGCTATTGTACGGAATCTGTGTGGCTGTATACAACTGGTGCTGAGCTTGCTGAAACTTATCAACGAATGTTTCACTGCGCAACCAAACGACACACAAATATTAACCACCTCAAAACAACAAAACAATTCAACTGGAAAATAACAACAGTTAGAGATGAGCATCGAACTATTGATGATCCAACCTGTTGTTGATGAAGCGATAATGATGGCTTAGAAGCGATTGCATTGCGTGTTTCAGAGGACGGATAAGACATACTTGACGTATCCGTATAAGATAATCCTGACGGAACACTCTGTCGTGGTTGCATAGGAACAGCTGTTGCTGCTGCACCAGCAGATGGATGGCTCACTGGTGTGGCTGATACAATACCCACACCGCCATTCGATGTGACAACATTCTGGAATGTGCATCTCTTATTTCTTGCAACAAACAATACCGTTGCTACTACTATGATTAGTATCAGCTTTCAACTTATACATTTTATAGGATTTTCAAGATATGATCTATCGACGATAAAACATGCATGTTCCGTAATATACAACAATATCCTTTGACTACCCTTCCTGACATACGAAGTCTAACGATTAAAATATTTTCAGAAGCAATTAAAACAGAAAATAATGAACTTTAGATTGTTGCTGTTGCTGAGAAGAGATCGAAGGAGAGAAATCACCAACTGCGCCATTCGACAACATCTGCGTTGAGGTTTCATTTTGTAATTCACTCTACAAACAATCAGATAGCATTTTTCATCGTTAGATTTAAGAAATGAGAGCGAACACTTCGATAAAGCAAAAAGAAAAGATACCTCACGATTGGACGTGGCACGATTGATGGATCGTTGTTTAGAATTCGTTGTGTTGAAGACAACGTCTTCATTGGAACGTGGTTCATCAGTGGCAACACTAGCAGCAGCGTTGCTAGTGGTTGTTGTTTCAACGTGAAAACCAAACTGATACTCAGGCAGAGCTGATGGTCCATTTGAATCACCACCTGATACGAACTCAACTGTATGCGAAAGAGGATGAGTAGTGGTCGCATGTTGTTGCATTGTTAACTGTTTTGAATGAGAGTTGGACTGAGACTGTGCTGCTTGTGATTGTGCCGCTTGTGGTTTAGACGTTGGTATTGGTTTCGAAGCAGCAACTGCAACTGTAGAACCAATACCGAGATCATTCTTTAATTGTGCAGTCCAGTCAGCTGACGACGCTGAATTCATGTTGACTGTTCGTTGCATTGTTGCATCTACGCTTGTATTAATTCCAGCTTTATTCGATGCTCCATTGTTAATCTGTGACTGTTGATTGGATGTTGTTGATGCGCACTCTTCGTCCACAACACCTCGTTCGCCATCCCCATCCTGCGACTGCACCAATACAACTCCACCTTGTTGTCCACTCGTCGAAACCGATACCGTCTCTTTACTGAATCCAAAAACATTATCACTTGCTAATGAAAGTATACTTGACAGTCACGAACAAATGCAACAAAACAAACCTTTGATATAATGAATTCAGATTAGACTGATTCCCTGAATTAGTGATTACCGCATTAGTATTTGCAGTAGCGTTACTATTGGCTATAGATGCGGCAGCGCTATTGTCCTTGCCTTTACTCGCCAAAACAGCAGCGAACGAAATGGGACCGGCAGCAGAAGATGCCGAACAAGCACCACTTCCCATCGAAACACCCACACTCCCTCTTGATCCCGATCCTGCGGCATTCAGATTTGCCGTCGGTGTTGTTGCCGCAACTGGTGGCGTTGCATCGTCACGACGCGAAAACACCAAAGTTCCTGCCGTTTTCTAGAAAATACAATCATCAGCTATGCTTTCACATGAATGAATTGATAGACTCACCCAATCAGTATCTTCAGGAATATCATCCACAGAGTTATTACTCGCTGCATTCGTCCACTCCTTGTTCAGATCAACTTTGCTCAGCTGTGCATTGCTATTATCCCAAACATTTGCATTACTCGTTTCGATTGCATTACTCCTTGCTCCAGGTTGTTGATATCCCCCTCTACCATTATATGCTCCTCGACCACCACCTCGTACACCACCTCGAAATCCACCTCGCCCTCGTTCTGAACCTCGTCCTCGGCCTGATCCTTAACATCACTCATCTTATATGAACAAGTCACTATTTGTCTGAACAATGCAAAAATTTACAAATTATAAGATTAACTTTCTTGATCGGTAATTCGGATGCAAGAAAGTTGTTAATATTCATTACTTAAGGGATAAAATGAATCACTAAATAACCAAACTAAATAATAACTCTATGGCATGAGTCAGAGACTGAAATAAATTTTTCCATGAAAAAATAGTCGATTAACGAAGACAGTCAAACTTACCAGAGAAATTATTGGCGTTACGTGTGAGGTGATTACGGTTTCTATATGCAGAAGAGAATTCCTCGGCTCGTTCCTCAGCTTCAGCACGTTTTGCTCGACGACTCTTCTGTTCTTTCCACACACTTTCATCCGAATAAGTTTCTTCTAATATAGCATTCACCGCTTCTTCAACATTATTATCTGTATCATATAACGCTATCTCCGCTTGACTCACTGTACAGCGTGTCGTTTCAATAACCTAAAATAAGACTGTTAGCAATTACTGCCTGATGTGAATTTTCGGTTTTATCGATCAGTCCTTAAAATATCAATACAATACCGCCGAAATTCCTATTTGATTTCATTTCATCAAGAACTATTACAGAAACTATTCACAATTCTTCAAACATTCAACACGAACCTTCTTGATCAACTTCTGAACGTTGGCACGATCATCATCCACAGAGCTCACATCTTGCGTGATTCTGGCCAGTCGCAACTGATCCTGAGTTGCGCGTATTTTCTGATCACTAATCTCTCCTCTTCCACCCATTGCCTTCGTCAGCAACCTTCTAATCAATTCTGCACTGTCAAAAATATTTTTAATAGGATGCTACAAAAACACTTCACTATTATCAAACAGTAACGTTACTCACAGTCCATATATCTATATGAGAATGTATAATCCATATGTAACACTCAATCTCGCACACTCATCAACAACTTCCGTCAAATTCTAATCAAAGCCAAGAGGATAACGCATGTTTCTTCGCAAATTATTTGCAGCTATCAGTCGATTGGAGTCAAGAATTTCAAACACTGCTTGACAGTTTAATTCTCTAAGGACGATCACGAGCTTATTTCGTTGCAGAATCGATGAAAGCTCTACAACAAAGTTTTACACGCAGTAATAGTAAAGCAAGTGCACGATGATGCGAACTGAAGTAATCGATATAGTTAAAATCCTCAAGATGATGAAGCACACACGGATTTTTCATCATCCGTCACATTCGCATCTTATATACGTCTCAGACTGTCATAACGATACAATTCGTGCAATTCAAGATTGACTAACGATAACAAATGCAGCGGTTATCATTTTAAAACAAATCACGGCACTACGCCGTCGAAATTAACACACCACATTACTCTCTCCTAACGTGCTAAATGTGTGCGCGCGCGTATCTTGGCTCTCGATCAACATTTCGACACGTGTTGCGTAATTGATAGAGTGTGCAATTCGAAATGGAGCGTTTTGGGAAGTGATTCGAGTTCGGTGTGTCGGTGTGACAGCGACAAATTGCTGAGTGCAATGCTCGTCACGTTTTGCTGATAGCAATTACAGTTTGACTCTCGGATATAGTAAAGTAACAGTAAATATCCAGTTACGGTAAAAAAAAGTAATGTCAAGATGAATATAGCAGCTGTATAGTTGAACCAAGTAATATTTTATTTATTACTTGTTTGTGAGGATTTTCGTTTCGGATGTTGGAATGTTATCCGTTGTTTGACGACTCGCTTTTTGACAGAATTCCACAAATGAGTTTTTTTTTTGGTGGCTGATCACGACGAAATCATCCTTGTGTGAATTGGCTGCTGTAGAAATAAAAATTTAATCACAGTTTTAATACTTAAAATGGGCGTTTGATTACTGCTTAGTTTTATCGAAACTTGTCTGGATCGTTCACTTTGGAGTATCTGGGTTGTTCTCCTGTTCTGTTCCATTGAAACGGGCTTTGAGTAAGCTCAGACAACACTGTACTTAAAGGAACAACCACCCAATGACCGCTGCCCTAAGAACCGATAGCACTTAAGCAGTCACATTCTCTAATCAGCAACAATCTGTATTCTAATTACTGTGAGCATAAAACTATGCCGAGCAGCCAAGTAACCATTCCTTTATCAAGCATAAATGAAGACACCACGAATAGTCTGTATAAATATCAAGCCGCCACATTAACTGATATTAAGTAGCAAAATTACACAAGTTTTAATTACGTATATGTTATGCGCGATTCGGGCTTGTTGTTCGGTATCGATTAAGCGGAGTGTATTTCCGAGTCATTTTGAGTCCCTCTTTATAGAAATCATTGGGAGAGTAACTCTGCACCTGTGTGCTTGCCACACCAATAATTGAAGTTAGAATTTCATTAAAACCAAGGATCCATTATCATTGGCTACGCCGAAAGAAGGTTGTCAAGGAAGGAAGCATGTAATATTGGTGATGAGAGAGAGTTGTAACTGCTGATTAAATAAAAAATAGTTTTTGCTGATTAAATAAAAAATACGTGATGTGCACATTTATTGTGCAAAATTTTGTTATGCAAATTTGCCCGTACCTTACAATTTTTCCTCGTCATCAAGTTTTGTGTTTGAGAAATTATTTCATGAATTGAATATTTGTGAGTAACTATATATAATCAATGTTCATAAGTAGTTGTGTCGATTGATTGTGGATTACTTTCGAAAATGAGTTTCGATGATACTGATTTAGAATTTGTACATGTGGTACTTGCATTTAACTCATCTCCTCATAAATGTACGTATTGCTTTTAACTGAACGAATGTGTTCACTGATAATTGTTGTTTGCTAGTTCGTCGAATTTTTTGATTGTTATGGTGCAGTTTCGTTACTGTGATCAAATATCTGAAAATTTCATTCGGTTTTCTTGATTTAAAAGATGTCTACCATTCTTATTGAGTGAACTGATTTGAAATAGTTGATTTATTCAGCCTAGAAACTAAGCAACATAGTCAATAATTTTTACTCAAATTAATATTTGCTGTTTTTCAAACGCATTTGATCATTGTGCATGTGGACAATCAAGCATTTTGTGTCGTTACAATATCATCTCTTTGTGCTGTATCTTCATTATTTGTTTATATACACTTCATTTCCGTGCTATTTTCCAATCGATCATGTTTGGAATTTCAGCAGTTGAAATGGGAGATGGTGTGCAGCAGAGCGGAGCCGCTCAATCCGGAGGTGGACCCCGATTCCGGATCGTTCCAGGACCAATGCTTGGCGAGAATAGCCGTTCGAATGGTCCTCGTAATTGTGCCGTTTCAGTAAGACCATATTTTCTCCATTAACATAGGTTGTGTAGTATGCCGAAGTGATGTGTGCTGACATTTAGTAATGAAATGAGCAATTGAATGTAGCAGCAAATTGCAAAGATGATAACGTGGTACGGTGTTGAGATTCAACCGCAAGCATATCCAAATGATGGATCGTCAATGAAACAAGATGAGATGAGCAATTCACCTTCAATTAACCGACCACAAACAACAACATCATCATCGCCACACATGATCATCAGTGGTACGCCTTTGAGACAACAACAACAAGCCGTGCAGTGTGTGGTTATGAATAATCAAGGTTTGCCGCTTGTCACGTTCTTTGTTCGTTCGTTGCTTATGAATTCACTCGAAGTAACCGTAATTATCAACAGATTTAATCATTAATCATTTCATCTTCAAGCGTTACATTTCATTCACACAATATTTCATGTGTATTCGCTTTAAAGACTCATCTTTCTCAAAATTTTCGTGAAATCGATTATTTACAACAGTCATTTTTGATTGTTAGCGAGTAGCTGGTTATTAAGAGGTGTGAGTAATAGTTGCAAAAATTGTAAGTTTGAGTTTGGATTTTGACTGATGAGGTTTGGTTATGCCTAAGTTGAGAGGGATGAAGCATCAAATTGCACGTTGCATGAGGCTGTCTTAGGCTCGATTAAGAACTGAAGGTATTGTTGGTTATTTATTATAAAGAGATGACAGTAAGATGAAGTCTAAAAGCAGGGGTATCAATGAATGGAAGTGCATTATCGTCATCGAATGCGATCACAAATCCGGCCACACCAAATCAACATAAACCGTTACCATCGTCCGCATCTGTAACGTCAACAGCCACAGTCACAGCACAACAACAAAGACCAACTACTGCTCCGAATGCCGCTGAACAAGCGAGCATGGTATCGAAATGTGCTCGTTTCTTCAAAACACTTATTCATCTATCGCAACAACCTGATCAACAACAAGGCCAACAGACTGCTGTACGCGTTACTGAACTCGTCAAGGTATATATTCATTGCTTTTATCGTGCCATCGTTTTTCAATTATTTTGTAATCATCGAATGATACTAAGCAATTAAGTTGGTCATATATGGTACAATGCCTCCAGAAGAATTCACCAGTCGATTGCAACAAGCGCTTCGTTCTCAAGCTCAGCCGCATTTGCTTCCATTTTTGCAAAAGGTTAATTTAAAATGATCTTCCATGAACACTACTTATTCTAATAAAATTTAATATTCAATGATTTAATTGTGTCGAATGATCTTATCACTTCGCTTTGTAGAGTGAATATAATCTAAAAGACTGAATTCCAGACACTACCAGCATTGAGGGCTGCAATGCAAAAAGGCGAAGTTGTTATAGAAGGTATTGACGCTCAGCCGTGTCAAAATCAACCTCAACCACAGCAGCATTCGTTATCCTCATCAAATGAACTGCAGAACTCACCTCAGTGGGATGCTTCTAATCGCCGATCTAACAATGACAATGTCACATACATACAACAAGTGCGGTATTTTTTTAAACTGAAAAAATGAATGAGCATCTTGTTTTTCTTTGTGCGGAACGTAGTGGGTGAAACTTAAGTTTGCATCATGCTCATTACGAAGCATTGTTCAAAGAATGAATTTAAAGGTGAATAATAATTCATCAGTTGGTCCACAAGTTGATCGACAAGCAAATGTAGCAGCGACAACCTCATCCTCAACAAGCTTAAATCAAAACAAGACTGAATCGACCTCAAATTCACTTTCAAACGATGAATCAAATTCGTTATCACAAGTTGAATCTGTTGAAACTGCGATGACATGTGATAGTGATCTACGTTCATTACCAGCTAATTATGCACCCTATAGATTACTAAATGTTGACGTCTTAACCAGGTTCGTTTCTCTTTCAACATTCGTCACATACACAGCAAGCAGATCTTCTTTTCTATGCAGTTATTTGTCCATATCTAATTCTAATAAATTGTTTTCTTCTTCTTGAAGCGGTGGCTCAGATCGGGATTCGATTGATTCATTTGTGGCATGATTCAACTAGTTGAGTGGATAATAAAAATAAATTTAAGAAAGATTCAACGAGCGATGCCAGATGGTGGGCAAACGGTATCAGATGAAGTGACCAGTATCATATCAAAAGCAGCTGAAAATCGTCTTCGTGCTGTCATAGCACGTTTATCAGTAATTGCTGAGCATCGTCTAGAACAATTACGCAATCATCCTATGTATCAAGTAAATTCATGTTTGAATAACATCTAAAGCAATTACCAGCTCAATTCATCAATTTCTGATATCATTTTATGCATCGCTAGAATTTAAATCGAATGGATTAATCAAAGCGAATATGAATGTTATCATGTATATATTTCTATGATTAAAGTAAGTAAAAACTGAATTCTATCCTTTTAAGGCACTGGACGATACACGTCGACAGTTGCGATTTCTCGAAGAATTGGATAGACGTGAGCATGAAAGGAGGGAAAACCGTGAGAAAGAAGCACTTATTCGGTTGAGTAAGAGTAAAAGTAAGGACAAAGACACACTTGTCGAGAAGGCCAAACAGGTGAGCGTGACTGAAATTGTTGTTGAGTAATGGTTCGTTGATTGAGAGAAATAACGTTGATGCATTGTAATGAAGCGATTCGTAGTCATCAATGGAAATTCATTACGAGTAGTTTTCGCAAGGGATCCCGGAAGTTATTTTTTGAGAAATCCCGGAATGCTGGAGTTTGATCAAGCATGGCATTTTATATAATTTTGAATTGGTTGAATTGCACATCAAGCATTTTCAGTTTATTCATATTCATTGTCAGTAATATTTGTTATTTGCCATCCAAGTGGCATTAAATGAATGTATTTTACATAGTATTGGCACCTCAGTTTCCGTTTTTTTTGCATCAACGTTGCTTTGTTTTCCGTTACGGTCTTTTTCAATGTCGTTATTGCAGAATTTTATAAAAAATAGCTCCGACTACATTATGCTAAGCGATCTATATAATTGCAGCTACAACGTGCTGATCAAGAAGCAGCACGGAATCGTGATGCAAATGCAGCTGCAATCGCTGCGTTGGGTGGTAGAAAAAGTAATAAGCGTTCATGGGCTGATACGAATAATCCGTTCGAGCAGTCAATTTCAATGGGGCTATCTGCATCGGTTCTCATTTGTTCATTAAGACTCGTTTTCGTTTTTGATTTGAATGATCATTTCAGTTGAACTTTTCGATCTCAATTAAACTGGCAGTATCGTTAGTAAATATTGTTTCATCACTGCCGTTCGATTAAATTTGATTTGTTTGCAGACCCATCGTCCACGAACAAAACGAGTGACCATGCGTGATTTTCAATTTCTGCTATCGCATGATCCTTTGAGTTGTCATTCAGTTCTGCGATTACGTCTTTCACTGTTCAATACGCCCATCGACTTGCATCCGAGCTGAATCGTTACTTCAGTCGATCGTGTTGCACGCCTTTCATTGCATATAAGTAGTTGTTCCTTTCATAACCTCATTGTCAATCTCAGTTCAAATCGGGTAGCAATCTTTATTATTATGTATTTGTATTAATTTATTATCATCAAAATGATTCTTTTTATTATCATTGGTTGTAACTTTGCACAGCAACAGTCTTCTGCTTACTTTTCAATTTTGCGGAATGAGTCTTGAATCGATTAAATTGAGATTGTCATAACTGTGATTGGAAGTTTATTCCACGAATTATGTTTTCTTTATATTATTTGGAAACAGAATGAA